CTGAAGTGAACAGAACCGAAGAAACAGCTTGGATGAGAAGTGAAACATTTTCAAGGGGAAAAAAAAAACCCAAAGAAAATTCAGTTGCTCTTTGGGACAACCATGACCTGGATGATTAAGAATCTCCATGGATAGTTCTGAACTTTTTTTTTTAATCTGATGGGGAAGAAAGGTCTTGGATGGGCCTTTAGCTAAAATTAGGGTTCAGGTTTGCAATGAGGAGATTCAAGGCAAGAAGTTAATCCTATGATCCCAACAATTATTTCAGCATTTGGGGGCATAGGAGGAGGATATCATGTTAAGTCTATTTTTTTTTCTTCCGTTCAGTCATGTCTGATTCTTAGGGACCGCCTGGACAAGTCCTGCAATTTTCTTGGCAAGATTTTTCAGAACGGGTGGGACTACAATTCACCATCTCCTGGTTTCTAAGTTGATGCCTTAACCTCTACACACCAAACTGGCTCTCTATGTTAGTCTATAATAGCCACAAATAAGAAGTCTTTCCTGACTCACAGATTTTATGAAAAGAGTTTCAATTTTTATTTTATTTTTATTTGTAACTTCCTTAGTTGCGTAGAATTGCCGCATTCTAGCCTGTTCTTGACTCAATACATCTGATAACTTTAGCTCCAACTCATCAAAGCCTTTCCCTAAAATTTGTTAACTCAGATAAGACTTCTAATTTGCTACTGGACTCCTCCTGATTTTAAATATTTGGGGTTTTCTCTCTGCTCCCATTTAGATTTTAATGGACGGAGAATGATAGCAAAGCCTAGCATACTTTAGGTATATTTGTGCAGATTTAGCACAAACCCATAAGCAAAATACAACTTTTATGTTTACACAGCCTCCCATGTCCAAAGAAATGAATCGGAGTATAGTTTAATGAGATGGCTCAGTTCACATGATATGCAAAGCCAACCAATGCTTTGAGAACACATTTAATCTAATATTTACATATTGTATCTAATATCTAATATGTGTATTATATCGAACATATTTTCCAAAGTGTTTCATAGCACAGCAGGTCACAGATGGCGATGTTAATAGAGGTATTCCTCTTTTTTTCTTTCCAAAAACATGTATTTATCTAGTCACAAATGATGCAGAGTCAAACCTCATTGTAACATCATGTACTCTGTGAGTGAGTGGGTGGCAGGATAGGCTCACATAAATGAATTATCTAGGCTGGCACAAATCGAAGAGAATTATCTCTCCGATTCCCTTAATGCTCTTAATATAATTTTAATCTACAGTATACAATTCTATCTATGTATGGAGATGTAATATATTTTGTGTATTCTGTCTTATCTGTGCAGGGTAGATTCATATAGGAATGTACAGGCGGTATTGGATACATAGATGAAATATCTATGTATGTATTATACTTTAATATATAATATAATCCATGATGTGACCTTCTTTCTTGAGGTTCTTTTTTGTTTGTTGTTTGTTATTTATGTTTGATGCTTTTTTATATTGTGGTATGGTTTTAATTATTATACAGCTTGTAAGAGTCATTTGATGAGAGATGTCTGTATAAATAAAATAAATAAATAAAATCTTTATATATTTTGTCCATCTATGTACTGTAGATATACGCATGTTTTGTTTTAGATAGAATTCCACGTGTTGAACAATGCTCACCTTTCGCAATTTTAAGCTCCAGGTGGACTTGAACTCCCAGAATTCCCCAGCAAGCATGGAATTCTGGGAGTTGAAGTCCCCCGATGTTGCCTGGGCTGTGGAATTCAGGGGAAGTTGAAGTCTGCACAACTTAAAAGTCGCCAAGACTGAGAACCAATTGGTGTAGAAGGAAAAGTACATCTCCGTACATAAGCCCAGGTAGAAATTTTCTACCAATACAAAACTTGAATCAAGCTTCACACCACATGGAACATGGATCCTGTCCTTTTAAATTCCCCTCAGTTGGGATAAGCCATAATAAATGGCTTCCTCATTCTTTTGACTTTCTTTTGGCATCAGGACCATCTGGCACCCGTATGCCTGGCAACCTTCCCTGGTGTCCTAATAGCAATAGCACTCAGATTTACGTACCACAGCCCTCTCTAAGCGGTTTACAGAGTCAGCCTCTTGCCACCAACAATCTGGGTCCTCATTTTACCCACCTTGAAAGGAGAGAAGGCTGAGTCAACCTTGAGCCTGGTGAGAATCGAACTGTTGGCAGAGATAGCAGCATTATAACCACTGCGCACCCAGGAAGGAAGGAAGGAAGGAAGGAAGGAAGGAAGGAAGGAAGGAAGGAAGGAAGGAAGGAAGGGAGGGAGGGAGGGAGGGAGGGAGAAAAGGAAGAGCAATAGCACTTAGACTTATATACTACTTCACAATGCTTTCGAGCCCTCCCTAAGCGGTTTACAAAGTCAACCTATTGCCCCCAACAATCTGGCTCCTCATTTTACTGACCTCAGAAGGATGGAAGGCGGAGTCTACCTTGAGTGAGCCAGGATCAACTGCTGGCAGTGGGCAGAGTTAGCCTGCAACACTGCATTCTAACCATTGCGCCGCAAGGACTCCTACTAGCAATAGCACTTAGACTTATATACCGCTTCATAGTGCTTTAAAGCCCTGTCTAAGTGATTTACAGAGTCAGCCTCTTGCCACCAACAATCTGGGTCCTCATTTTACCCACCTTGGAAGGAGGGAAGGCTGAGTGAGCCTGGTGAGAATCGAACTGTTGGCAGTTGGCAGAGTTAGCCTGCAATACTGCATTCTAACCACTGCGCACCCAGGAAGGAAGGAAGGAAGGAAGGAAGGAAGGAAGGAAGGAAGGAAGGAGAAAAGGAAGAGCAATAGCACTTAGACTTATATACTTCTTCACAGTGCTTTTACAGCCCTGTCTAAGCGGTTTACAAAGCCAGCCTTTTGCCTCAATCTGGGTCCTCATTTTATTCACCTCAGAAGGATGGAAGGCTGAGTCAACCTTGAGCCGTTCAGGATCGAACTGTCGAACTGCTGGCAGTCATGCAAGTCTGGAGACCGGAAGCCCTAAGCAAGGGTCTTTTTTGCAATTTGTCCAAAACCCCGGATTTGCCCGTTGACTGCCTTGTTAAGTGTGAATCATCTGAAAAGGAAAGGGAGTTAGGGGATGAGGAAGTCAACGATTACAGGCAGCCCTTCATTTGCAACAGTTCATCTAGTGGCCATATGAAGTTACAACGGCACTGAAAAAAAGTGACTTATGACCATTTTCCCCCAACATCCCCATGACCACATGATCAAAATTCAGACTCTTGGCCATTGACTCATATTTATGACAGTTGCCGTGTCCTGGGGTCAGGTGTTCACTTTTTTCGACCTCCTGACAAGCCAAATGTCATAAAATATTTCTATGGTCCTTTTAGAGTTGCCAACAGAAAGGGAGGAGAGGGAGCAGTGGGCAGCTTGCATTCCATAAATGTTTTCAAAGATAGTAACTAGGTGACTGAAGTGTCTGCCATGCAAAATTCTAACTGGAGAGCCTGATTGATGACTCTTGGCTATGGATGTGTCCCATTGGAGAATATGAATTACGATACACCCAGGGGGTGGGGGAAAACCAGGGTCAAGAGTGACAATGAATGACGTGTCTCAGAGTTGGCTACATCCTTACACCAAGTCAATGGGGAAGATTCACTTGACAAACTGCAATGATTCACTTAGCAACTATGGCAAGAAAGATAATAAAACTGGGCAAGTTTCACTTAACAACTATCTCACTTAGCAACAGGAATTTTGGGCTGAATCATGGTCGTAAGTCAAGGACTGCCTGTAGTTCTTTTAGACCCTGATGGCTCATCCACTATTTGATGCAGATCGGTCACCATTAGTGCTGATTTAGGATAGTACAAAATTCGATTTGGTGAGATTTATAAATTGATGTCCTGTTGCATTTAATGTGAGCCACAATGCTCTCATTAGTGCAAAACTGATTGCATGCACAATTGGGATTTTAGACACTAATCATTGTTTGTGCAAAATGGAGAAAAGGAAGGAATTTTTTTTTTTAAAAAAAGGAGTTCTTTTTAAAGAACTCTAGAAAATACAGGAGATAGCAGATATGTTTTACGATATGCGTTATATCTGGTACAGGAGACAAAGTGAGCGGTATTTTCCTGACAGTATTTCATTAATAAACAAGTACAAATGTAATTTAAAAAAATTTCATTGCCAGTTTCTGGTGAACTGGAACCCATGATCCTGTTTTCTGTAGAAAGATCATTTCGCATAATTGGGACCATTACTTGGGTTTTATTATTTGAACCAATCGAGACCTACCTGTGTAAACTAAATCTGTAAATGTAACTAAATAATATAAATAACTAAATTTACAAATATAACAATTTATGCAGGAAAGTGATCCCTGAATGCCTAAAGGATCAGTCGAGACTCTTCTTGCAATCGAAGCAGAATTTATGTACTTCTCGTTAAGCTTTTCACGCTGTGCCTCTTTCAGTGTACTTTATTGTTGCTCTTGTTGAGAGGTGGAGGGGAAAGTGGTATTTTCATTTAATTCTCATTCTTGTTTATAATTTCTCCTAGGGTTCCCTAAGGTATTAAATTCTATTGCACCCCAAACCTCTTTCTGCCTCTTACAGATCTCCGACCGTCCCCTATCCTAAAACCCTTTTTTCTCTGCAATTAACCTAGCCTTAAATGCCAAACAAACGAGCAAGCATCTCTACCAAGTCCCACGCCCACGTGCCTTTACTACTACTCCCAGCCTCCCCGGCGGTCACTCGACCGTGGCCGCGGACGAAGGCAGCCGGCGCGAGGCATGCCGGAACCTGTGGTTCCCTCCCTTTCTTTATGTAAAGGTCTGGGCAAGAAGAGAGGAAGCGTCCCGAGAGCCTTTTCTCCGCCCCTCCCTCCTGATAGGCCGCGTCTCCTGGACGAGGCGGGCGGAACGGGAGGACGGCGGCCAACGGGAGAGGCGGTGGGAGGATTGACGCGGCGGGGAGCCAGTGGCTGGGCGGCGGCGCTGTCGCTGGGCGAGCGGGAGGCCTGGGTGGTTGGCAGCCCAGCGCAGTTTCCCGAGGAGACGCGGCGCTGATGGGGCGGCGGAGCTCGGGACGGACGGCCTGAGCGGCCTGAGAGAGAGCGAGAGAGGTGAGTCTCCCCGTGGGTGGCCGTCGCGGCTCGTTCCGAAGTCAGAGCCCGGGTGGGGGGAGGGGAGGGTCCCTGCGACCCCCCCACCCTCCTTACAAACCCTGCTGCCCCCCTTGACACGTGTCGGGGCGACTTCACACGTGCGGACCTTACACGCAGGGCGTGATTTAGCCTCTTGCCTCCCTGGAAGGGGCTGGACCGTGGGAACTGCCTCTTACCCGTGTTTAGGCTTGACCCTCTTGCCTCCCCAAGCCTCCGCCTCCTCATTATATGCTACCATTTATTATTATCATCATCGTCATCATTATTATTTTCTTTTATTCATTAAACATGAAACTCAAGTCAACTGAACATTTCAAAATGTATCACAAATATCATTGACTGGCATTGATGGTTGATACGGGTTGCTGCCAGCATCCTAGGTATCGGCCAAGTATCTTAAAATGTACAATTATTATTATTATTATTATTTACTTTATTCATTAAACATGAAACTCAGTCAACTGAACATTCAAAAATGCATCACAAATGCCATTGACTGGTGCTAATGGTTGATGCAGGTTGCTGCCAGCATCCTTGGTATCAACCAAGTACATTACTACTACTACTACTTACTACTTACTACTACTACTACTACTACTACTACGACCTGTCTCATACCCGTGTTTAGGCTTCCCATCTCCACCTCCTTATCCATTTTATTATTGTTATTAATTATTAGTGTGAACGGTCTCATACCCCTGTTTAGGCTTGTCCTGTCTCCCCAAGTCTCCACCTCCTTATATATTACCTATTATTATTATTATTATCATCATTATTATCATTATCATTATTTCTATCCCACCCTTACTCTGGAAGCTGAGGACAGTGTCTGGGGAGGGGAGGTCTCCCCATATTATCCCACTGACAACACCCTTGTAAGGTAGGCTTATCTGAAGGAGAGACGGCCAAAATTCACCCACTCCAGGGTCCGTGTCTGAAAGGGAGAAGAGTCTCTCATGCCTTGCCCGTCCTGCTGCCCTCATCCTGGTTCCCTCCGTCCACCCAGATCCAAGCCATCCATTAGATGCTCTGCTTTTATGGTGCAGTTAAAAGTTGTATAAGGAAAGAAATCCAGGAGGGATTCAGAGGACAGAGATCAGAGACATTTAGGGGAGTCTGAAAGAAGCCAGAATTGACTATGGGATGGGGAGCTGTTGTGGGTATGTGTGTGTGTGTGTGCATTGTTCAGAGGTGCACATCCCAGCCCGATGTTTGTTTGCATCTCAACGGAGTCCCAAAGGTGCTTTTTTCCAAAAGGCAACTGGACTTCCTTGTGTTTTTTTTTCCTCAAAAATGTTTTGCTTCTCATCCAACAAGCTTCTTCAGTTCAAGAAGGAAAAAAAACAACAAGAAAGTCCAGTTGTCTTTTGGAAAAAAAAAAAAAAGCACCTTTGGGACAAGCATAACCTGGTTGATGGAGAATCTCCGTAGACATCTCAACGGAGTCTATTTGAACAGTCCAAAACCAACCTGGGCATGTGGGGGTGGGTGGAATTTGATCTAGCATTGTCTTGTATCGGAGCTGGTCTGGCTAGGACTTCCTGCAGCTTTGTTTTCGCGTTTGCTCCCGATAGAGATAAAAATGAACCGACCGATGGGTTTGACAGTACCTGCAGTCTGTGTATTTGTCAAAAGGCAATGCTTTTGTTGTCATCCAGCCCCCAGTTCCAACTGGCTTGTCTTGGAAAAAGATGCCACCAGATGATCAAAGAATGTCAAGTAATAGAAGGGCTGTAGATAACCCATCTTCTAGTTTTGATTTTTTTTCTTTCTTTCCCAGTACGTTTGTTTGCATCCAGACTTCTTTAAATGCAAAGGAATGTGATTTTTTTTTTTCTTGGTAGAATTTCCTTTCTACAGACCCTAAATCATCCTGGGTTGTCTTTCTTAGAGCTGTTTGTGCTGTACACAACTGAATCTTTTGTCAGCTGTCACTGTTACCACAAGGTTTAATTTCTGTTCTGTTCTCTTAATCTTGACCTTTTTTGTAAAAAAAACAAAACCCCAACCCTAATGGAATTGAAGGAAGAAGCCACGCGTTTCTTCTCCGTAGGTGGATAACGTGAATAAATAGTTAACTAACTTGAAGATACTATCTCTTGTATGACTCCCTTAGGCTCTCTTCATTGCCACATTTATTTTTCTCCTTTCTCCATTCTTGTCTAATGTCTAATATCCTGGCTTCCTTCGCTGTCACACTCTTCTCCTTATTCTCTTTCCAGTCACTATGGTTTTACACCTTTGTGTTCATACCTCATCTTTATTCTTGTCCCTTTCTGGACTTCTCCCGCATGGGGGTTCACAGCCTTCTGTGTCTTGTTAATTAATCCTCAGCCACCCCCTCTTTCTGTAATTGCAATGGTTGACATGATTTATTAGCTCACAATTCTGGAGGAAGCCTACCCTGAATGAAAACCAATTTGCTCCTTTTTTGATTACAATTTCACTCTCATTTACAAATACAAAAGAAAGAGAGAGTGAGTATAGTTTATCATATGGTTCCTTCTTGAATATCCATTTGTTTGGGAAAATCCTGATCCAAGTTAGCCTTGGAAAAGATTAGGAAGGGCAGAAAATAATAATATCCCTTGCAGAAAAAGTAGATAGAGAAAGAGAATGACCGGCACTGTAAAATATCAATATTGCAGGACACCGTATTAATTGTAATTACACTTTATTGATCTGGAAAGTCAAATGAAACACAAAAACACACAGAGATTTCTCTTACAGGGCTGTCAAAAGGTGTTGGGTGTGTGAATGGGAGAAAGGAAGGGCAGGGACAAGAAATCTAAAAATCTCTTGTGTGTTTTTGTGTCTACATAAATTGTGGTTACCCTTCTCTTAAAGGATCCAGTCTCCTAGATTGATGTACTGATCTAGGAACAGTCTCTTCCTTCCCAATAGGCTAGCTATATGTATATCACAAAGTTCCTTTTTTATCAGAAGTCCCTTTTTCCTTGTCCCTGAAGTGGCAATCAATGGCTCTTCTCCCTTATTTGATATATAGATCTGGAAGAGTTACCGATCTGGTTATCGTTACGGTAATACCCTTCTTGGTAGCTTAGAGACTTTTTAAAAGCCTGCTTGTGTTTTGCAACTCTTAAACTAAATAGGTCATCTTCTTCCCCTTCTCTCTCCCCCCCCCCCCCCCCCCCCCCCTCCAGAATCCTGACATCTTTTGACAGCAGCCCTTCATTCGACAAAGGAATGACGAGACCCTTGTGAGAAGTACAATTCTTTTGAGGGGAAAGAATTCGGGGGAAGCGGAATCGCACGAATTCTCGCAAGATTACCACCGCTGCAAGCTTGGCGTTTTCCCCGGCATCTTTTCAGTCTGGCTGGGTGTCTAGCATGCGAATCGTCGGCCTTCACTAATGAGAGGGAGAATGGGAACCCAGGGCAGCCCTGTCAAAAGCTACGACTACCTGCTGAAGTTCCTCTTGGTCGGGGACAGCGACGTGGGCAAAGGAGAAATCCTTGAGAGTCTTCAAGACGGGGCTTCGGAATCGCCCTATGCCTACAGCAACGGTAAGCGCGTCGCGCGTACGATTCAGAAGTTGCGCAAAGCACATCGTGGCTGGGTTAGCTCAATTGTATCGCGTTTCGGAGTCGGGGTGCAAAGAGCGTCACGCTAAATCCGGCGTCCTTCTGCACCAATAAACCCTTTTCCCCCCCCCCTTCTTTTAAATGAAAAGCTGGAGAGATCATTAACAGTTGTGCCAGAAGACTTTAATTAAGAGCCAAGACTCGGCATCACACTTTCCCTTGTGTCTTTTCACGGTAGTTAAAATGTAATGCTGTCTAGCTGGGCTGTGTCGCGTTGTGTCTTTGCAAGCTGCCGTCGCGCTGGCCGTTTAAAATTCTGTGCAACCACCGGAAAGCAACCTTGATGGGAAAACGCCAGTTCTTTACACCAGCTTTGGGATTGAATGCTTGGCACCTAACGCTCTGCCTACACCGATGGCGAAGTTAAGAGAGGCTCAAGAGAATAGGAGAGAAACAGATCGTTTTGTTAATGACTATCGGCGTACAGGTACAGCCCTTGACTTACAACAGTTCATTTAGTGACCGTTCAAAGTTACAACGGCACTGGGGAAAAGTGGCCACCCGTTGCAACATCCCCATGGCCAGGTGATCAAAATTCAGATGCTTGGCAGCTAGTTCATATTTGTGACGGTTGCAGTGGCCTGGTACCATGTGGTCAGCTTTTGTGAACAGCATTGAAAAAAGCGACTTAGGACCATGTTTTACACTTACGACCATTGTGGCATCCCCACGGTCATGTGTTCAAAATTCAGATGCTTTGGCAACTGACTCGTATTTGTGACGGTTGCAATATCCCGGGGGTTCTGCAATTGCCTTCTGGCAAGCAAAGTCAGTGGGGAAGCCAGATTCATTTAACAACCATGTCACTAATTTAACTGCAGTGATTCACTTAACAACTGTGGCAAGAAAGGTCATCAAATGGGGCAAAATTCACTTAACGAAATGTCTCACTGAAATTTTGGGCTCAGTTATAGCAATAGCACTTAAACTTATATACCGCTTTACAGTTCCCTCTAAGCGGTTTACAGAGTCAGCCTCTTTGCTCCCAACAATCTGGCTCCTCATTTTACCCACCTCGGAAGGACAGAAGGCTGAGTCAGCCTTGATCCTGGTGGGATTTGAACTGCCAAATTGCAGGCAACCGGCAGGCAGCAGAAGTAGCCTGCTGCCTTCTAATCACTGTGCACCATGGAATGAATGGAGGGAGGGAAGGAAAGGGAGGGAAGGAAGGGAGGAAGGGGAAAAGGAAGAGCAAGAGCACTTACTTATATATTGCTTCACAGTGCTTTTATGGCCCTCTCTAAGCGGTTTAGAGAGTCAGCCTCTTGCCCCCAGCAATCTGGGTCCTCATTTTACCCACCTCGGAAGGAAGGAAGGCTGAGTCAACCTTGAGCCTGGTGAGAATCGAACTGCCAAATTGCAGGCGGTTGGTAGTCAGCAGAGGTAGCCTACAGTACTGCACTCTAACCACTGCTCCTCATAACATACATCATAACATATCATTAGCCCAGGCAATTATGGTTGGGTTGGAAGGCTGAGTCAACCTTGAGCCTGGTGAGATTCGAACTGCCAAATTGCACTCAATCAGCAGAAGTAGCCTGCAGTACTGCACTCTAACCACTGTGCACCATGGAATGAAGGGAGGGAGGGAGGGAAGGAAGGAAGGAAGGAGAAAAGGGAAAGCAGTAGCAGTAGCCCTTAGACTTACCCATTACTTCACAGTGCTTTCCAGCCCTCTCTAAGTGGTTTACAGAGTCAGCCCCAAACAATCTGCGTCCTTATTTTATCCACCCTGGAAGGATGGAAGGCCGAGTCAACCTGGAGCCTGGTGGGATTCGATCTGCCAAATTGTAGGCATCCAGCAGGCAGCAGAATTAGCCTGCAGTACTGCACTCCAACCACTGCAATTATTATTATTATAATTACAATTATTACAATTATGGTTGTAAGTTGAGGACTACTTGTATCAAGAGCTGATTCTCTTAGTCTTCACTTAGCATACCAACAACTTTCTTTTCTTTTCTTCGCTCCCAGCTAGGCAGCAAAAACACCTCATTCTTGACATCAATTTGGACAGTGAGTCATGTTGGGATGAAGGAATGCTTCAATAGCCTGCTCCAGATTTGGCTGAGCCTCAGGCAGTCAGAAATTTCCATGGAATTTAGATTCTCTAGGAAAACAAAAGCCTGGCTTATAAAAATGAAAATGCAGAGACGGCGTGACTTTTCATACTTGTCCATTTGTTTCTCTTAGTGGCAAAAAAATAAAATAAAATCAAGAGGAGCGTGATCACACCTTTTCTGACTTAGCACGTTTTGTTTTAAAAGGCACAAGCTTTTCTTGGTGCCGCTCATTTCACTAGCATAGAATATCCATCAGTAGCTTCAATCACATTGGATGTATTTTGCCCTTAGGTTTGGTGAAGCTATATGCCTCTGCGTGGTTTAATTGAGAATAAAGTTTTTTCCTTCTATCTGCATCGGAGTTTCTAAGGGCAGGTTGTTAATCCCTATGGGAAATTAAATGGCCTGGTTTGGGTACAGTCGCTTGTGATGAGAGTTAAGCCTTAAAGTTAAGCTTTTACAGCATTCTTTCTCAACCATCACAAACGTTAAAATGGGTGGACTTCCAACTCCCAGAATTCTGGAAATTTAAGTCCAGCCATGTTAAAATTACCAAGATTGAGGAAACCCTGTTTTGCAACATTTGTAATCGTGGATGATGGAGTCTGAACAAGTAACCCGGAAGTGAAATGTTCAATTTTCTTCTGTCCTGAGTTTAACAAGCTGTAAAACTGTCACCGGACCACAAAATTGAAGCCTTATGCTGAGGCTCTTCTTATTTCCCCGAAACCTGGAAACCACTATAGTTAACACATTGTAGTTCCCTTTGTAAACAGATGCTCCAGCATGCTATCATTGTCCTCTTAAAAGACAGCTCTCTTCCAGTATGAAATTGCTATAATCCCAGGATAATCCCAAAGTTTGTTTCAGAGGTATGAGCTGGGAACAATCTATGTCTTGACGCCATTCTTTTTTTTTTTTTTGAAAGGCAGACAAATCTTAGTTTTCACAGGAATCCATGTTGAAATGCCATGTCTGTTATATGGCCGTGGTGCAAGAGCAGTAGAAATCTCATCTTTTTCTCAATTCTTAAGAATGAAACAAACCTTGTCTTTCTTGATGGGTTATAAAAAAAGTTAAAAAAAAAAAGTACAGTAAAAAATATATCTTAAGAGCTTTTTTCAGGCGTGTTCAGGAAATTCACTTGCAAGGAAAGTAAAGAATAAATCCCGATAATGATCTTTGATATTTTTTCTGCGTGAGTTTAGCGGTTAGAGCTGAAGTCAAAAGCATTTCAGGATTAGTCCAGAGAAGTCCACCAGGGAAGACAGAAGCTCTTAGGAAATGGGAAGATTATGCTTTGCCTAGAACCGATCTTAGATTTTCTATTGATCTGGCCATGGGATATAATGAGGAACTGACCTAGCATATTAAAACAGTTCCTGAGTTAGCTTTGTGTGATCTTTCTTCTCTACTTAGGATTCACATTGCAGCGTTTCTCCCCCCTCTCTTCCTTTGGCTTCAAGCCATTTCTCTGTTGCAAGGATCAGGAAGAACGCTTGCAATTCTCGCCTTGCATCACTTAGTTCTAGAACTTGTCCATTAACGATTGTATTTCACAGCGGACTGAAAAATAACAGTTGAAGTTAAATTGCTTGATCCATGGTAGCTTATCTGGATGAAATATTCACAGGTTGGAAGGTTTATCAGTGGTCATTTCCAAACAGCTAGCCCATCCTCAAAATACAGGTAGTCCTTGACTTATAACAGTTCATTTAGTGGCTGCTCAAAGTTATAACAGCATTGAAAAAAGGGACTTATGCCAGCTGCCAGCAGTTCGGCAGTTCGAGTCTTACCAGGCTCTAGGTTGACTCAGCCTTCTGTCCTTCCGAGGTCGTTAAAATGAGGACCCAGATCGTTGGGGGCGACAGGCTGACTCTGCAAACCGTTTAGAGAGGGCTGTAAAATACTGTGAAGTGGCATATAAGTCTAAGCGCTGTTGCTATTGCGCTTTCAAACTTGCAAGACTTTGTTAATATAGATTTACAATAAAATAGAGTTTGTTTACCTATCTCGTTTAACATCAATCTTGCAAGTATAATTTTCTTCCACCTTATTGCTAAAGGGTAATCTTGGAGAGGGCTGTGAAGCAATATCTAAGTCTAAATGCTATTGCTATTTTTCACAATTATGACCACTGCAGCATCTCCGTGGTCACGTGATCCAAATCCAGAGGCTTGGCAACTGAACTCATATTTATGACGGCTGCAACGTTCCGGCCTCACGTGACCCCCTTCTGCGACCTTCCGACAAGCGAAGTCAGTTAGGGAAGCCAGATCCACTGAACAATTGTGTTACTAACTTAACAATGGTGGCGATTCACTTAACGGCGGCAAAGAAAGGTCGTAAAATGGGGCAAAGCTCACTTAGCAAATGTCTCGCTTAGCAACAGGAATTTTGGGCTCGTTTGCGGTCGTAAGTCGAGGCCTACCTGTCTATGGGTTTTTGCAGGAAGCCTTCATTGGAATCTAGTCCCCTCCCAGTTAAAGGGCAGGCCAAATGTATCATGTATTCCAACTGTCTCCTTTAAATAGAGGCCACTGCAATAAATCATAACCAGTTGATTTCTGCTGGATTAACACTCTGTTTGGTGTGCATTCTGAAGGCATGAGTCATGTGAACGCCTTGCCCCAGTCTCTGGATTGTTGCACGCCAAACAGAAATGACCACACAAAGGGATTTGGTTGGGGGGAATGGGGGAGGCTTGCTCACAGCTGGATCATAATAGGCCGTGCTTCCCTCATGTGCAGATTTCCACATATTTTCCTTCACGTGAATTCTTCGCGGCGAGAGCTGCTGTGGCTGGCGGAAAAATGGCTGCTCGGGTGCCTTGCGTTGTTCCCCATAAAACTGCACCTA